CACAGGAGCCGAGCATTGTCACGATACACATGTAACCGTGTTTGTGGGTCCTTTTTCTCATCGGGCTGTTACGCGCGTTCCCCGGGTGCATGTGCTGAGTTGTGATCGCATGGCTATCAATCGATAGCACCCACGCGCAGTAACCTCGTGCGAAATCGGTCTATCATCCTGTGCAACAAGCACATGATTTGCACATTGATGAACGTTGTTGGACATTCTGCCTGGTACGTTTAACTCTTCTATGTCAGTCGTACCCGAAGCTAACCTATGCGACGTGTACAGGAAAGCGACAATCAAGTTTTGCAGCAATCACACTATGGCCAGGGCAATGAATAGCGTAAAGTTGACGGAAACATAGCTATTGCGTAACAGGATATATTCGAGGCCAATCCAGGTGTTGGCATGTTAGAGGCGCCTCTCTGTCCACCATGCTTTTCAGAATCTGTCTTCCCATTGTCTCCCTCTTGACGCTCGGAAACTGTTCAGGTGCAATCCCAGACGTGCACTCCGAACTTATCCCAGGACCAGGTTTCCCGTCTCTAGCGTCTCTGAATCTTACTATAGCTGATCTCATTGAGTGGCCAATAGTACGAGGTTCCAGCGGTGAGCACGTATCCTTACAAGTACCTGTCGCATTTTCAGGTGGACATCATCTAACACCCTGCAGCTCAAACCGCCACCTCAGACAATACACTGGTGTGCGGCCCGGAAGATGAATCCTACACAGACGTCAACAATCTCATTTCTTGCTTCAATTATCTTCGCATCCTCGGCAAAACTCTCTGTGAGTTCGACAGTAGAGAACCGAGAACGGTGTGTTGGCACGGGTTCAATGGCGTTGTCGTTGGTATAAGTACAACGGGTCAGCGTGAGAGTAGTTACTGGTATGCTCATCTTCGCTCCTTTGCCCCGCACAATCGACTATGGAACAGAACAAACCTGACTTGTATGGCATAGCATCGATCTTGCATGGAGTGTCTTGGCTGTCATTGACGGCTGCACGAGACTTGATCACAGTTGTGCTGGTTTTGCGGTTGCCAATGGCAATGGGAACATCATGGTTGGAGGTACTAACGCCGATTACGAAAATCGTGCCTGGCTTTGAAGATCGAGGATGCCTCAATCGTTGCAGTCGTGTTCAGTTCTAGTGCCGGGGTCGATGTCGCGATGTTAATTCACACCAAAATCAGATTACGACCATGCGCATCATCCACAAGCATATTCTTTCAACATCAACATTATCAACGCGTTGTATTCCCCGCAACATTCCTTAGGCTAACAATTTTCCCCAGACTTGGCATTGTGATGCTAGATAGATGCAAATCTGGGGTCACCGGATTGAGCTAACTTCCTCCAACCAGGGGTTTCTCCGGACCGATATGTTTCGCATGCATCAGCCAACGCTCGGCCACAGCCGTGATGCACGTCCAAACTACCCAATTGAGCTACACATTGGTCACGCGGAATGATTCATGTTACTCCATGTATTCAGGCGTTTTCGCGGCGACATTCGCCATCGAATCCCACCTAAGAGGGTTCATTATTTATATGAAGTCGGTGGAGATCAAGCCACCCCTTGAGCTTCACGGAGACGATCAGCGAAAATTATTGCGGTCCAAACGCCGACGCATTATACATAATGGAGCTTCGACGTGTACATGGGTTCTGCCAGAACGACCAAGCACCATCATCTCACATCGCAGCAAGTACTAGACATGAAGCTTTCTACCTCCTTTTTACTCATTGCGGTAGCCGCGGTCACAGCATCGCCTACCCCAACTTATCAGGACACACCAGCAAGAGCCTTGGAGAAGAGGGCTAGCATTACAGATGCTGCTAATGTTGGTTTCGCGATGGCAAATGGCGGGACCAAGGGGGGAGCCGGTGGTCCTACTACAACTGTTAGCACTTTACCCCAGCTCTCGGCCGCGGCCAACTCTTCCGGACCTTTGAACATCGTAGTTCAGGGAGCCATCAGTGGTGCTGCAAAAGTGCAGGTCGGCTCTGATAAGACCATCATCGGGAAGACTGGAAGTTGTATGCGATTAGCTCTTCTAAGTTGCATGAGCCCTGACTAACGCTTTACAGCCTTGACTGGAATTGGTCTCACGATTCTGGGCCAGAAGAATGTCATCGTACGCAACATGAAGATCGGCAAGGTACTCGCTGAGTATGGCGATGCCACTACCATTCAACTCTCCACCAACGTATGGGTCGATCATTGCGACTACTATGGTGACGAGACTGTTGGTAAAGACACCTACGATGGCCTGGTCGATCTTTCGCACGCTGCAGACTTCGTAACCATCTCCAACACCTACTTTCACAACCATGTACGTCCTCATGTTCATCTTCACGAAAATACACCTTGGCTAATGCAGCGTAGTCCAAAGGCACCCTGGTTGGCCATTCCGACAAGAACGCTGCCGAAGACACTGGCCATCTCCGCGTGACATACGCGAACAACCACTTCTACCGCGTCAACAGTCGCGGCCCGTTGCTTCGATTTGGCACTGCGCACATCTTCAACAACTATTACAACGAGCAGTCTACGGGCGTGAACACCCGCATGGGTGCGCAAGCACTGGTTCAAAGCTCGGTCTTTGAGAACAGTGGCAAGAAGATGGTGTACACGGAGAGTAGTGCGGAAGATGGATATGCAGTCGTCGAGGACGTGTTCTTTGGTGGGCAGAGCGCCAATACAGCTCCCAAGGGTACGCTAAATGCGCAAAGCTTGCCCTACAAGTACGAACTATTGGGCAGCGCGAACGTTAAAGCGACTGTTACTAAAGAGGCGGGACAAACCCTAGCTTTCTGAACAGATTGTATTTGGACAAGTCAGATATAAGTAATGGCACGCATGTACTCTATAACCTCAGCCATTACTTTCTCCATTCAAAAAACTGTCCAAACTCTCCCGGTATAGGTCCTGCAAATCCTCACCCAAGTAACCTTCCCGAGCATCAACCTTTCTTATCAAATTGACTAAGCTCCCTTGGTCGCTCCTCCCTGTCAAAATGTCCTTCACATCAAAGTAGGCGAGTAGCGGACTATATCCCAAGTGATCAAAGATCGTGCTCCACGCACTTCCGTGGAGGTCCACGTCTGAAAGCTCCATCGAAACAATTCTAGAGCTCGACGACGACTCTGGGATACTGGTGGACGGGGATAGGAGAGCAAGTAAGACTGAAGAAGGGGTTCTCGCACGGTGTATGTATAAGGTCTTGAGCCCATCTCCGGTCGGGCGCCACATGAGCGATTCAAGGTTGCAGTATTGAGTGCCCTTCAGGCCAAGAGATTCGAGATTGCGACAACGCGACACAAAGGTGCATATGCCGTCCATGTAATCCGTATTTGGAAAACGCGTTTGCAGGTTAGAGTAGAGCGGGGTTCCGTGATCGTCGTTAACAGACCTCTCGTCAAGGTCGTACGCGCGATCACCGAATGGCCCTGTGCCATCGATGTATTCCAAAAACAAATGTCGCAGTTGCATGGCCATGTCGTCGTAAATACAACCACCAATGGTCGCAATGTCGTATGCTGAGGGCAGCGTAAGTCGAAGATAAGTCAGCAAAGGGAGATGTATGCGTGGCGAGGAGAATATGCTCGCGATGTTGCTACGAATAAGCTGCAGGAAGTCGAGATCAAGCTTGAGGCCGTATTCTTCATCGTCTCTTTGATCAACTTCTAACGGTGCGCTACGCCAATTTTCTTCGAGCGTGAAAACTAGGCGCTTCAGCGTTGGTAATCTAGAGACAGCCTCTTCGATCCGAGGGACAAAGGCTGACGTGTTCGCGACCAAAAGGGCCAACTTTCCAGCCAACCCAGGATTGTTGTCGGCGTCTCTCTTTTCGAACAATCCATCTGGGCTCAGTCTTGATTCAGACAGCATGATCTGTAAGCGCTTTATGCAAGGTGCAAACTTAGCATCTTCTTCTATGATGTATTTCTGAAGTCTCGAGATGGCTGTGTTCTCCCAGGTGTGAAATGTCGCATATTTATGTTGGAAGTATAGACGGGTCATAGCGGTGTCGAAGCCTTTACAGACTAGCCGAAGCTCCAGCTCCCGGTGAAGCACATGTGGGTAATCATAGCCGCCGAGGCCACATATGTAATCAAACTCGTGGATAAGGGACCTCTCGTCCCATGGATACCGGGGTTCAGTCAAGGGCCTTGCAAGGTAGGAGAAAATCTGGACCTTTCGTTAGCCTACAGTATCGAATCAGAAGACGAAAAACGCTACCTCATCAACGAGCTCAACAGAGAGCCGATCCCATACCGACATCTTCACATTGATGTCGTGCGGAAAATGCGGCAGAGGCGATCGATGGGGAGCGGCAGGCTGCATGGCCCGTGCACGCGGTCACCCCTTCTTCAAGTCTCCGTGGACCTTATCAGCCTATCATCTCGGACTTGCAATCAGGTGGCTGCAGCTCCGTCTTACACCTACACATTTTGTGGCAGGCCTGAGAAGTAAAGGATCCTATAGACCCAACCGCGTACTGTACCGCGGCTTTTGCCTGACGATAAAATGAGGGGTTCGCCCCAGCTCAGGCGGCCGTCCGCCCCGTCCTGCTTCCAACAGCATGTCGTCGACACCGTCCTTCAGGGTCAGGCTTGCTGAACTTCGCGACGTTCCACGAGTAACGACAGTCGCTCTTGCCAGTCTACCTGATGACCCGGGATTCGAGTTCATTTGGAGGTACAGGCGCCAATATCCTGATGACAGTCAATTCTTTTGGTTGCAAGTGTTCAAACACTACCTCTACCATCCCAAAATCACGTTAATCGTGGCTGAAGAAGTCGCATCATTGGATGAAAAACGCGAAGATCGTGGAGAAGCAGTAGCGACAATATTCGCTTTCGCATTATGGGAGAGAAATGGGAAGAGCATGTTCACACAGGCTCTGACAAACCTGTGGAGCAAGGGCGTGTTTAACGCGCTACACTGTGAGCATGCACGCGCGAACCTCGATGAACACAATACTGAGCAATGACAGGCTACATCACCTTTCTGGAGAACTGGCTTATAGGAAAGGAGTTTCCACGGCGCGATGGCGATCGGAAGCGTATGATCGCCTTCCAGGAAGCGCTGAACTATTCCCACTCGAAATATTGGGAGAAGATGTATCCTCAGAATTACTACCTCGTTCTGCTTGCAACCCATCCAGACTATCGTCGGCGCGGTGCGGGCACTGCGCTCACTCAATGGGGTGTTGATCAGGCTCTGGCTGCTGGCATTGACGTAGGCCTTGAGGCAAGTCCGATGGGATTTCCACTGTACCAGCATATGGGCTTCGTGCTGTTGGAAAATCTGGTGATTAGGCCGGATGCGGATGACGATCCGGCGAGTATGCTGCTGAGGATAATGGTATATGACAAGAACAACAAGTTCTCAATGGTCTAATTTTGGGAATCGCCTGCTTGCGATTGAGGAGGACCGTAACATGTACTTATTGTGTGTTGAGGTTGCGTGCCAGGTGGGTGCTGAGCCGCCGCTCGAACGGGGGCGGAGGTTGAAATAGCGCCCGAATCGCCGACTGCCCACCAAGCTGCCACCGCGCGGTCGCTGTGTTCCGTTCCCTCTCCAGCAAGCCACACAAACACCCAACGGGGACCGGGAACGGCGCAACAACAATTGCTTCCTACTGTCTCATAACATTGAAATGACGCCGAATTATGCATGCTCGAGAAGCGGGGACGGACGGTGTTGTGGCTCGCAGCACCGTTCAGAATAAAGCTATAAGAGCATGGTCGTTGTTGCCTGCCATCCGTATCATCTATTTCAATCAGATCGTCCCTTATCAATAACTTGACAATCTGCAAGGCTTCTTTTACTATTTATCGCCCGCCATGAGTATCAGAAGAGCAGCAGCTACACGCGTGTGCGGCAAGCCAGTGGGCCCTGTCGGGCTCGGGATGTTAGGTCCGTTCCACGCTGCCTGAGCATTCCAAACGCAACCTACTGACAACAGAATCTTCAGGCTTAAGTCTTCCTGCTCCATTTCCTCAATTCGAGCGCGAGCATCAAATTAGTCTGCTGAAGGCCGCATTAGACCAGGGTGCAAACCTATGGAACGGGGGTCTTCACTATGGCACGCCGGAGTCAAACTCCGTACATCTGATGCGCTACTACTTCGAAAAGTACCCTCAAGATGCTGAAAAGGTTGTCATAAATATCAAGGGCGCCTTCAAGCATGGAACAGGTCCTACCGGAAGCCCAGAGGCTATTCGCGCATCCGTGGAGCAAGCTCTCGAAGGACTAGGGGGCGCGAAAGCCATAGATATTTTCGAGATGGGTATGAGCACATCCGCAAGTTGATCTCGTGGCAACAACTAATGAATTGCCAGCACGCGTCGACCCCGACACGCCCGTTGAAACATCCATCAAAGCTTTGGCTGAGCTAGTAAAAGAGGGTAAGATTGGGGGCATTGGACTATCCGAAGTCAATGCAGACACCATTCGCAAAGCTCATGCCGTTCACCCGATCTCAGCCGTAGAAATCGAGCTGAGCCTGTTTACACCCGATCCACTTCACAATGGAATCATGGAAGCATGCTCCCAACGTATGTCTTTCAGCGGAAGAATTTGCTTTGAAGATCCGACACTGACAACACCAATATAGTCGAGATACCTGTGATTGCGTACAGTCCGGTCGGTCGGGGCTGGCTCACGGGCAGTTTTAAGTCGCTCGATGATCTTTCGCCCAACGATTTTCGCCCGAAGATGTTCGATCGCTTCCAGCCTGAAGTGTTTGATCAGAACTACAAGCTTGCCGAGGCCGTGGAGAAGATTGCCCAGAGCAAAGGCCTCAAACCGGCACAAGTCGCTATCGCTTGGGTAGCGCGGCAAGGGGCGATTCCCATTCCAGGGTCTACCAACATTGAACGCGTTACCCTGAACAGCAAGCTGTTAGAATTAACCGATGAGGATATGGAAGACCTTCGAAAAGCTCAGGAGACATTTCCCGTTGCAGGTAAAAGATATGGAGGAGCGCATGAGAAGCTGCTGAACGGTTGAAAATTGAGCCGAGATTGATGTTGTCATACTGCAGATTTCGGAGTTTAGACGGACGGAGATATTGTCATGTTGATTTACCTATTGCCATCAACTTCGTCGTCCTCATCATCATTCTTACTTTATGAGTTCTCAATATTTTACTGCTACGTCCTAGTCGCGATGAGTTCAGCATACGAAGAATATGGAGAAGTAACATCCACGTCGCAAAATACGACTCATACACATCATGGTTCGTGTGCAGTCTGTGCGAGGGCTAAGAGCAAATGTGTGAGGCGTTCAGGGAACAGCAACTGCGAAAGGTCAGTGACTATAGCATGACTGACCATCTCGCATAAGACTCAATTTCAAGCTCATATTGAAGGAGTTCAAAAGCTTAACACATTCTTAGATGTACACGGCTACATAAGGTCTGCCAGACTCGGGAGCCAACGAAACGCAGAAGCAAGGCAAAAAAGGTAACGTGAGTCAAGTTGAGCGGTGCCTGGTATCTGATTTCATAATGCTAAATTGTAAGTAGACGATCCGCTCAATTGCAGCATCTCGAGGCACAGCTTGCAGACATCACCGAAGCTCTGGCCAACAAACATGCAACAGAGGCATCGTCAGAATCGGGAATGCATACTTCTGGGTTACAGCAGGCGACAAGATTACATGAGAAGAATAACGTTGTGTATCAGGTACCACTGACTGTAACTCCAAGCGCTACCGGATCTGTCGATACTACTGCCTCTGCCCGCGACGCAACGCTGGAGATGGACGATTTCGACCTCGCATCAATGGAAACGAATGAAACAAATACCGACATTTTGTTCGATCGCTACCAGAGACTGATGGCACCTCATATGCCATTTGTGGTGTTCCCAACTGGTACTGATGTTTCCAGCTTGGCCAACAACAAGCCGTTCTTGTTACAGGCTATCAAGACAGTCGCTTTCTTCCACGATACCGCAGTCCAACAGATTCTGGTAAAGGATCTTATACGAGAGATCTCGGATAGGGTATTGATCAATGGTGAGAAATCGCTCGACCTGTTACAGGGTATGCTAGTGATTGGAAACTGGTATAATCCGCATCTCTTCGCATCACCAAGCCACACAGTACTTCTACACCTTACCATGGCGCTCACTCACGACCTGGATATCGATCGTGCACCAGGCTTTTGTGAGAAGGCGGCTTTGATGGCAGCGTCACAAGCGCACGGTGTGCCACAGCCGGCAAAGGTCGTAACGAACGATGAGCGACGTGCAGTTCTCGGAACGTTCTATCTAACCTCACAGATATTTACATCCTTCCGGAAGATCGACAACCTTAACTGGACTCCATGGCATACAACTTGCGTCGAGGTACTAACGCAAGCTCGAGAATACGAAAGCGATCTTTTGCTCGTGCAGCTAGCGCAGAGTCAGCGCATCATGCAAGAAGCCATGGCTACCGACTGCGAGCATGCACCGGTGCAACTATATGCCAAATCATTCTTGAGCGACCTCGATAGGGCTGCGCTAGCGTCTGGAAACGCTGCGACGGCGATAGTGTCGCGTTTGCAGCAAGCCTGTACCCGAACTGCGATCTGGGAACGCTCATTCGGGAATCTCGCCACCCACACAGTTAAGGAAACGGACCTACGACAACGACTAGATGGAATGTGGCAATGTATGGACGCGGCCAGAAGGTACACAGAGATATACCTAGAACTACCCGTCGAAGACTATCTTGTCGTTCCATTCGGCGTTTTCGCGCAGTTTGCGTACATCTTCGTTGTGCTTGTCCGAGCAAGCCTGATAGAGATGAACGGCTGGGATGTTCAGGCGCTCAGAAAATTCGTTGACTTTTCGAAACTTCTCGGCGAGGCTTCTCGACGGTACGATGCTGTATCGCAGGCTCATCCTGATGGTCTGAACCTAAACAACGACGCTTTTGCGAAGTGGTCTGCGAAAACCAAGTGGGCCAAATCTTTCTATGATACGAAGCTCTTGTGTGTGGCGTCAAACGCACCGACAGCAAATCAGCCTCCGTTTGAGGTTAGGGCCACTGACGCAAACGAAACTCATGTACCGTACTCGGCTCCTCTCGCCCCTCTTGAAGCTCTGGAAAAGCCGACGTCAATTCCATTCGCAGCTTTCGATGACTGGGGCAGTTTTGCTGACCCATCAGCCTTCCTTGAAGACATGGACTTCCGTGTGTCCAACGTGTAGAACAAAGAGGATGGGCCCGCACTTCGGAAGCGGAAGCCAAACAAATCCAGCTATACGCGACACGCATGCGATATCATCGGTGAAAGAATGAGTTTCGACCCAATTACAGGTAACGTGGGCCGCTGGGTCTTGGCGATTGTATAAGGTTGGCTTTGTCCTACAATCTTACCTTCCAATCTCTGACCCTGAAACTCATCCTGCAGCCGCACCTTCTTCAATATGGCTGACCGAATGCTTCGCCCTGATGCGGCCATCATGTCGACAATTTTTACGGAGTCGCAACCCAACTCCACCGAAATTCTTGCCCACTCCTTCACCAACTGCACGTTCAAAGCCGAATTTCCAAACCATCCGGCTGTCATCGTTCGATTGGAAACTTCAAGCGGGTCACTAGCTGTTGTTTCTGCGATTCAAGAGGCAGCTTCCCTCCAAATCCCGACTTATGTCCCCGAGATACTCTGGTCTGGAAAAGTGGTGACGGCAAACCACGGCGAAGCAGATTACGTGGTCACCAGATTCATACCGAACACTGTGACTCTAGAGTCTGTTTGGCCTTCTCTCAGCCTCACGGAGAAGACGTCTCTAATTGATGCTGTTGCAAACGCAGTCGATAAACTTCAACAGGTCGACATTTCACATGCACTCCTTCAGCGAATTTTTCCAAACACAGCCCTAGTTGACGACAAGAAGGACATGAGTATTGGAAGTCCATTCCTTGGTTTCGCAAAGAGTGTTCGCGAGTTCATCGCGCTGTTTGTCGCTCAGCATCAAGCCAAGAGCTTCGCTACCTCTTCCACAAAGGACGCACTAGATGGCGACGGCATTGTCATCAAATCTGCGATACCGGAATTGGGTGAGATACACTTCTCCTCCAATGATCTCCAGGCTCTCGAAGAAAGCTTGGTGCTTTCGCACAACGACCTCGAACCACGAAACCTGCTTGTAAAGAAAGCAGAGAGCAAAGACGGCCCACAGTACGAACTTGCTGCCATCATTGATTGGGAGATGGCAGGCTTCTTTCCTTCCGCCTTCGAAACAGCAGTCAAAGACATCTCGTTGGGCAGCTGCAACCAGTATTTGGACTACTATCTTATGTTCAAAGAAAAGACGCGCGTTATGCTATCTAGTGAAGAGTCTTCCGAGAAGCTGGTTGAAGCTGTTCGTCTCATCGATGAGTCGCGGTCAATGCAGATGAAAAGAAATGTTGGTGCGGAGATTCGAAGGCGTTGGATTTCTAGAAAGGGTCTGGAAATGAGTGATGACGCGTTAGAAGGATGGATTTTGAAGACTGCAGAAGATGGTACAAAGCATGAGCTGCGTCCTTGCTCGAAGGCGGATAATGATGAGCTAGAGAAGCAGGTACTCAAAGATTTTGGAATGTTGTAGCAAAGAGGAACGAGCATTGTGCTGGGAATGATGATTGTTGCGAATGGAATTCTCATATGCAGATGACTGCGAAAGACTCTAGCAACGTCATGGTTTCAATGCATTGATTTCTGCTTTAACTTTAGGGACGTTCGCTAAGGAGACAACTCGCTAAAACTTGACATTAGCGTCTACATAGTGTATGTTGTTGCCATAGTAAGCTTTACGTCGTAGACGTTAGACTCGTTACATTCTAGCTTTGATCCTGCACAATCTCACCTGCTTCTTCAAAGAAAGCGCTTCGTATGAGACCTGTCAAAGCCGATGGCAATGCAATTAATCGGGTCAATTCATTCACATGTCATGGTCTAGGTATTGATGCCTAACATGTCCTATGTCTACGGTGTTGCACAGCGCGGTGTGAGCAAAGATAATGGAACTCCGCCCTGTCCCTCCAAAGTAATGTGAAAATCTGCATATGCATTTCCATGAAATAACATAGTGATATTTTGAGAATGTTCTAGCATATAAGAAACATAGCTCTTCTCCTCTATCCTAGACAACAACGCCGAACCATACAGCATCGATACCACAAGTACAACCTGCACGTCCAGCTTAATCAAAACGCATATCAACACCTCTTCAGCCTCATCAAGCCACAAAACAACACAACACAACACAAAAGTATGTATCTCAAACGTCGGGCTGGTTTCCAGTTCGCTTTTCGCTAACACGTTACAGTGTCTATCATCAGCTCCGAGTCTACTCCTGTCGACACCAACACCTGTGGAAATTGCGGGAAGAACTTCAGTGGCGCATCTAATAGGTGTACCTGCTATGACGACTAGGTCGTCATACCTTCTCTATCAGTCGCCGTTGGTTTGAACATGGGTAAATTTTCACGGAGGGCGGATAAGCAGGATGCACATTCTTTTCGCCAGTTGGTCTGACTCTGATGGGTACGAGACTACATAGAAATGCAAAATAGCCAACCTTGCACTATGTTACATGATGATGGTGACGTTTAATCTGCATTCTCGATAGACGCGTCCTGATCCTTCTCTCTGCCACCGATGAACAGTGCCGCCAAAACTGCTGTGAAGGCGCAGATACCTGCGAGAACAGCGTTCATGTTGCCGTACCCAATCTTGTCTCGTAGATACCCAGCCAGCAGTGGGCCTACAGTGAGCCCACCGCTCCACACCATACTGTTGATGCCGTAGAGTTGGGCGAATGGAGCCTGCTCGAACATGTCTGTATTAGCCTTGTAGTAATTCTCCACGATAGTCCCAGATTCGACAATGCTAGGACTGTTGATAACCGCCAGACCGAATCCGTTCATCGCTAACAATGCAGAACAGAGTGCGATGATGTGACCGTTGTCTAATCTTTCGATGATACTCGACTCAGTCGGAAGTCGGAGTAATACAAGCGTTGGTATCAGCCAAATGAACCCAAAAACTGATACCGGCTTCGTGCCGTAGTGATCGACACACCAGCCAAAGACTGGACCCAGCAAGAAATCCGCACCACCCAGGGGTAGGAAGAGTAATCCAGCTTTCAGGCTGTCGAACCCTAGTTGCTCTGAAGCTACCAACGGTACAGTAGCGTCGAAAGAACCAAGAAGAAGAGCTTGCACAAATCCAATCCATACGGAGGTTAGCAGACCTGGATGGCGAAACAGCATGAGGATGGGAAGATTGCGTGTGAAGCGATTCGATGGTTTGGAGAGACGGTAGCGATCGAGCGTGGGAGGACCATTTGGTAGAAGGGGGGTTTGTTCCGTATCTTGTTGTTCGTTGCTCCGGTCCGGTTCAGAGGCATGTGTCTCAGGAGTAGAGTATTTCTCAGCCACCTTCTTCTCCACCATGAGCAATCTCAAAATGAAGTCTATGCCAATCAACCCTATAGCCACGCCAAAAACACCCATGTATCCAGTCTTCGCGTACAACGAACCGCCAACAATAGGTGCGACAAGCGTGGAAACCGATATGAAGCTGAAGATAGTTCCCATAGTCTTGCCCAAGTTCTCGCGGCCTACGGTCTCAACCAAGATAGCGAGGCCGATGGTCCACACCACACCTCCCGATGCTCCCTGGAGAAATCGTGCAATGGCCAGAACGGCGACGCTACGCCCGAGAGCGAGAAGAATGGTCGAAAGTAGACATAGGATTAACCCGAGGAGGAAAGGTAGCTTTCGAGACGAAAACAACCTGTCAGCGAGGAAGCCTGCGATGGGTGAAGATATGCAGGAAGCTGCCGCATAGACTGCTAGAAGGTTTGATATCGTGCTTTGGATCTGAGACTCAGGGAGATCGATGCGGTCTTTCAAGAGGAACGGCAGTACTGGCACAATGAGCCCGTACAAGAAAAGGTCCACGAACGCACCCATTCCCACAGTGAAGACTATGAACAATGGATGCGATCGCCATCGTATCCCTGGTGGTGGCATTGCGTACAGAGTCTGAAAATCGACGACGTGATGAGATGCAAAATTGATGTTTGTCAGTTCTGGAAAGGCTTCTGAGAGAAGTTTCCGCACGAGCCTCATCAGCGCAGACGCATGCTGACGTCAGTACTCATGATGAAGGATGTAAGCGCCTTCTCTAAATGCATCAGTGATCGGTAAGGAGATTTGATACTTGTGCGCAGCAGAAGAACAATGCGCTCTATGCGAATTGAGGGGCGGCTCCAATCATACACCTTCGGTCGTCCATAACGCTCTCACGACTTACGAGAAGCGATAATAGTGTCAGACTGCTTAGTGACAAGGAATGATAGCTTTCGCGAAGTTCAAAACGTTGGAGATACATTGTATGTCGACCCTTGAATAGCTGTCTGCAGGTGCAGAACTCGTCAGGGCCTGGTGTTCGTCGTCACGTGCGGACGCAGCCTAGCGTGCTTGGCGCGGATCTCGAATTCGAGCTCCCGACAGCTTCGTCGGGTGAGTGAGACTACGCCGTACAACTCCACTACCCACACAACAGTCGCTTCAAGATGGCGGACAAGATGGAGGGCGTAGTAATGGGCGGCGGTCTCGTAGACCCCAGCAAATACCCAGTGCCCATCGAAACGTAAGTGCAAGATCATGCCCAAAAGGTAGGTCCCCTTGATGCTAATCGAGAAATATAGTATATACGTGAGTAGGACCACGAGCGCGCCAGCAACGCACTCACATTGCACTCGGTGGCGCGATCGCTGACAGCACTAGGTCAACAACCTCGAGGAGCGCGTCAAGATCGATACCATGAAGCAAGCCTTGACACGGGTCTTCCAATACTACGGTCCGATTCTGGATGTTATCGCAAAGAGCAGTCTGAAGCGGAAGGGACAGGCATTTATTGTCTTTGACAGCGAGAAGGCTGCGCTGGAGGCGGTAGAGGAGATGAACGGCTTCGAGATGTACGGCAAGGTCATGAAGGTGCACAGGGCGAAGACACACAGCGACGAGACAGTCAAGCGAAAGGCGCCGGAACTGTTCGACGATCACAAGCGGAAGCGCCTGACGCTTAGGGGTGCGCATCTCCTACCACTTCTGAGGATGCTCCATACTGACTGCCATAGACTTCAAGCGCGCCGAAGAAGATGCGAAAGCGCAAGCCAACCCAGTCGCCGCCGAGAAGCCTCGCGCAGCCAAAACCGGGGCAGCCGCTGTTCCCGACGAATACGTACGACCCAACAAGACGCTCTTCCTGCAGAACATCCCCCGCGATGTCGACGAGGACGACCTTACGACGATTTTCGAGCGTTTCGAAGGCTTCAAGGAAGTGCGCTTGGTCTCGGTCAGGGCTGTGGCCTTTGCGGAGTTCGAGAACGAGCAGTTTGCGATTACAGCGAAAGAATCGACGGCCAACACCCCGATCGGCGCAGAGGGCAAGCCTATGAAAGTCACCTACCAGCGGCAACAGTAGGTTACTGCGTATGGATTATTGCTATGGATTTATGCATTTTATGATACCTTGTTCGGCACAGATACAGGCCGGCACAATAGAGTCTTATTATCAAAAGGCCAACGTTCACATTAAATGGCACAATGCTTATCTCTTATTTAGCTTGGTCGAAAACGCCCCGCGCGGGATGCCAAACGGAACCTGGACCACGGACTCCGTATCAGCCTTCTGGAAGGTGCATGTCTACATGCGAGACGTTGGCGAGCGAGAGCTAGAGAGGTGGATCCAGCGCCCAATGGGCCGCAGACGACACTACACGGACGGGCCCTACTAGTCGCCTGTAGAGCGCTTAGAAGATGACATCTTCGTTGTCCTCGTCGCCCAGCATGTCCTTGCTCTCGGCAGCATCTTCTCGCGCCTCACTCTCCGTCTCTTCGTTCTTCTGCTTCGCCGCCACCCTTGCGGCTTCCTCCTCGGCAGCATCCTTCTGCTTCTTGTTGGACACTTTCTTCAGGCGGTAGAACTCCTCTCGGTCGAGCTCGTCAAGCTCAGAGTTGATGTATTTAATGGTGTTTTCGGTACGGGGGATGATGACATGCTCACTGTTGGCTGTTAGCTTCGGCAGTTGTATGGAAGGAAAGGATACCCACATGGCGTTTACACGGCGGTTGACCACCTTGATAACTTCGTCCAAAATGACAAAGGCAGTCTGTAGACTAGCCAGTTCCACCAAAGTCTCGACCGCTCTTGCGTATGTCTCTCTGCATCTTTGTACTTGCTGACCACCCTTGCCCAAACCCGTCAGGGCGAAGTCGTTGTTCTGCTCGACAGTGAAGCTTTCGAACTGCGGGAGGAAGACACCGGAGACGTTCTCTTGTTTCGTTCGTACACGGAAGCGGGCTTGCTTTGCGGATTCTTGGATCTGGTAGCCAATGTCGCCGCCGACAGCGTAGGTAACTTCGGCGAGGGAGAAAGCAGCGACTTGCATGACTCTACCCATCTTGCGCTTGGCCTCATCGATACGGCGCGTTATTTCTGGAAACGGTTTCAGTTACAAAGGCAGATGGTGGGGTGCATATAGCGTAGTCGTACCTCGAAAGCGCCTGCACATGGTCAGCAAAGCTTCACGAG